GCCTCATCTTTCCAACTCCCCAATGAATGAGTATCACAAATATCAACATCTTTATCTTCAAAATCTGGCCTCAAAACCGTGGAAATCTCTCCAGAATTTGAAGGTTCGGCGGCACTATTTTTATCCTTGCATTCTGGAAATAATATCGAGGAAAAATGCAAAAGTGAAAAAATTGAGCAGATTTTTACCAAAAATTGTGAAAGAATCACAAAAAATCGACCAGCGAAATCATAGATAGTAACTAACCCAAGCCACATTTAACATGAATATGGAAGCAGTAAAATTGACAACGGAGAAAAAAAAAGGGGGGGGGAATAGGAGGAGCCAAATGACTAGAATGATGAAATTCAACAATAAGATTGCAAAATCTACTAAATAATTAAGGAGAAACAATGAACATACGAGGAGACAGAGAGAGGATGCGGGAGGAGAGGGTGTGGGTGCAGTGATGACAGAGGTCTCTTGAGAGAAAAGGAAGCCAATTCGATAGAAATTCCGAAGCGATTCGAAGCTCCGAGTCGTCGTATCGGATAAGAAACGGATCGCCGGAACGCTGAGGATCCGTCATCTTGGATGCCGAGTCAACTCGCCGATTTTGTTGTATATTGGAGGAGAAGTGCGAATAGACTAAATGAGAGGGAGAGGAATTCAGAGGATTGTGATTTGTGAGTATCAATCAAAGGAGTAATTTGAATCAGACAGATTACAGCTTCCAACTTTACAAGCCTATAGGCGGTGGAGGTCCCCAACAAATATGGATCGACGCTTAACGCATTAGGGTAATAGACAAATACAAGCCTATATCTAGAGTTTTGATGCTTAAATTTAACCAATTCGAGCTTTAATTGATGATAGAGAAGGGTTTATGTGTTCGTCGAAGGTTTGTTCGTGGTTGCTAGGTTCGTGGGTGCGTCGGCGTCGTGGGTTTCGGTTTGTGGGCATCGTGGGTTGGATTGAGGTTTTGATTTCAGTTGCTGCGGGGTACAGTGGTTTTGGGGTTTTGATTAAAGGGTTCGTGGGTGGTGTTGGATGCGTCGGTATTGGGTAGACTTGGCAAACGGGTCATTCGGGTGGGTATGGGTCGGGTCAAATTCGGGTCAGCAAATGGTCGGGTTTGGGTCGGGTCGGGTCATTTCGGGTTTCGGATCAAGTTCGGGTCAATAAATTATCGGGTCGGGTTTCGGGTCCATACTTCGGATCAACTTTGGGTCCGGTTGAGTTCGGGTCGGGTCACTTTGAGTCGGGTCAGTTTTTGAGTCCATATATCGAGTCAAGTTTGGGTGGGGACAAGTTCGGGTCGGGTCAAGTTCGGGTCGGGTCATTTCAGGTCGGGTCAAGCTCGGGTTGGGTCATTTTGGGTCGATAATTTGAGTCAAGCAATTAAGCTGAAATTAGTAAATTTGTAATTTTTATACGGATTAATTATTAGTTTTTTTTTAAAAAAAAAATAGGAAATATAGTTGTGTGTGTTAATATCATTGTTATTGTTGTCATCATTATAATAATAATAACAATAATATTATTATTATAATTATTAATTTATTATATATCAAAAATAGAAAAAATCATACAACCTACAAACAATTAGTGGGAAACCAAGATACAATATGGGCCCCTACTCCTCTAGGCTCTAGCTACATCAAACTCAATTATTTATTTATTTATTTATTTATAATACTCCCTTTGTTTTTATTTATATACTCCATTTTCATTGTACATTTATGCAATAATGCAGGTGAGTGCAAAACTTTGACATAAATTTTGTAATTATCAATAAGTATACAAATAAAATAGTTGAATTTTAACAAACTATTCAATGTGACAATCTTATTATCTCAATAAGTATTTACAAAGTAGAGTTTAGTAGATTATATTTTTTCGTATGAGTAAATCACTAACATTGATTATAAACTCAAATTATAATATAGTATGAAATCCCAACTTAGATGTAAAAAGGAAAAAGAAAGTTATAGTTAAGCACTTAAAAAAAAAAAAAAAAGCAAAGTGGGTAACAATAGCAATACACAAAGTCTTATATGTGGTTGGTCACACCACGGGGCAAGGGTTACTTGGTCAGTGTAATAGGGGTTACTTGGTCAGTGTAAAGGGGTTGCTTGGTCAATATTATGGGGTTACTCAGTTAGTGTTAGTAATAGGGATTACTCGTCAGTATTATAGGGGTTACTTGGCCAATTTTATAGGGGTTACTTTATTCTTTATAAGTGGTCACAGGGTATAGCTAGCCACACACAAGACGAGCTGATAACAATAAGCGTCATCTCTAATTAAGTGGAACTAATTATGAATTAAAAAAAAAACATGTTATTATCTAGTGTTGGGTGGTAGTGATGGGTAGTTGTGTTGGGTGGTGGTGCTAGGTTCGGTGCTGGGTGGTCGATGCTATGGAGGGTTCGTGGGGTGGTGTAGGGTGTGTCGGTGGTGCTGGGTGGTTTTGGTGACGCTGGGTGGTGGTGGTGGTTGGTTTTGGTTGCTGGTTGGTGGTGTGGGTGGTGGTGGGGTACTTAATTTAATTAAAGTTGAGTTTGTTTTTCCTTTTTTTTTGTTGGATTAATAGTTAAACATATACCCTTATTTTCCCATAATCATGCTTTCCATCTTTTGCCTCGGCCTCCGCAAACTTGTACTTTGTTGCGAGTAATCCGAAACGGAGGGAGTAATTTTACATAACTAGATAATTAGGGGTCATTTGGTCGAATCATTTGGATTGGATTGGAATGAAGTTAGCATCCATTCCATCTAACTTTTTGTTTGGTTGAGATTTTTAGTAATGGAATCTCATACCCAAGAGGTTCTAACTTTCATACCCATGGAATCAAATACTCACCCCTAGGGGTGTAAATGAACCAAGCCGATCAATAACATACTCGGGTACGAGCTTGGTTGAAGCTCGTTCATGTTCATTTATTTAATAAATGAGCCGAGTTTGAACAAATTTTGAAGCTTGTTTAATAAATGAGATTGGACACGAACATAGATAAGCTCGTTCAGATATGTTCATGAACAACTCGTTTATTTATTTACGTGAGCTACTGGGTTATTTATGTTCATGAATTATTGATTTATTCACATTTGTTAATTTAATTCTTATGTTTATACAGTGTGATTAAGATTTAATTATTATGCTACTTTTGAGATTTTCAAATGTCAAAAGTACGAACCTCATTTATTATAAAAGCTAGTTTATTATTAAGCCCGTTCATGAATTACTCATTTATCAATTCATTTAATAAATGAGATGTTCACGAATCGTTCGTGAACATACATTGTAATAAATGAGCTGAGCTTGAACAAATTTTTGAGCTCGCTTAAAAGCTCGGCATCGTGCTCGGACTCGCCAAATTTAAATGAACAGAACATGAACAAGGTAGTACTCGGCTCGACTCATTTACACCTCTACTCACCCCTCCCCCTAAGATTCACAATTCATTATATTAATAAAGGATATAATCCATTACAATAATAAAACCAAACAACTTTAATCCATTCTATTAATGAAGGATATAATCCATTACAATAATCCACGTGGATGGAGTATATATTAATATGTGTGTTTCTATTAGTGTTTTTAAAGTTTGACTATAAAACGTTTAAATGAGACTATTAAATTGAAATGAATGGAGTATCTCTTTTCAGTAAGTCAAACTGATACACTTTAAAAATACAAAGAGTAGGTTTTATTTATGATCTGATGGGTGTTAGTTATGTAGGAGTTTAGGATGGGAGTGAGATTTTTAGTCCTAGTTGGAAGAAAATCCCATGTGTTGTTGGGTTTGAGAATAAAGATGAGAATTTGATTAAAACCCTCTATTCCCAACAAAATTACCAAAAAGGCAATTATTAGGAATGTGATTTGAGAAAGGGTGAGAAATGGCAAAAATGCTATTAATAATTAGGTAAGAATAAATAAAACCAAACAACTTTTAAAAAAACTTTGTAATGTAATTAGTTTATCGGTTTGTATTTCTAATTGGAACATGAATTTTATTGTTTATTTTACACTTTGTATTAGAATACAACATTGATTTAAAATTTATTAAATAGATAGTGGTTAACATGTAATCGTACCGTTAAGGAACGGTTAATCGTACCATTAAGGAACGACTCTCATTTTTTTTAGTTTTCGACATAACGGTTAACCGTATTGTTAAGGCTAAACGGTACTATTAACCTATTATGCCCATCCCTACATGACGGGATCATGTCCTCCCATTGTGTTTTAATATGCTATGAGCCTGTTCACATTTACTGAATTGAGCTTAACTGAACTGAACTGATAGGAGCTAAACTGAACTGAATTAATTGGAGCTGAACTGAACTGAGCTAAAATGACTATTTTATGAGAGAAGGAAATTGAGAGTTGAACTGAACTGATTGAAGCTGAATTGAAATGACATATGTATGTATAGATATTTACTCTCTTTATATCTCGAAAAATTTGCAAATTGCAGCCATTTAAAGTTCGTATTTTGCAAATTGCAGCCATTTAAATTTTTTTTTGCAAATTGCAGCCCAAAAGTTCATATAAATTGTAAATTGCAGCCCGATTCAATTTTTTCATCGGTTTACAGGTTCAAAAATCTTTGGTTATGGTTTTAGGGGTCATTTTAGCAAACCCGAAGTGAGCCGGAATTAGCAAAAAAAATAACGTAAGTATCTCGTTTTGTGTAACATAAATGTATCGATTTGTGGGAAATTGTAAATATGAGACGCTTACGTTATTTTTTTGCTAATTCCGAGCTCAATTCGGTCCTTAAGAACTAATATGACCCCTAAAACCTTAATTGAGGATTTTTCAACATGTAAACCGATGAAAAAATTGAATCGGGATACAATTTACAATTTATATGAACTTTTGGACTGCAATTTACAAAAATAAATTTAAATGACTGCAATTTACAAAATATAAACTTTAAATAGCTGCAATTTGCAAATTTTCCTTATATCTCTAATCTCTAAATTTTCATTTCCACCTACCAAACACCACATGAGAGTTCTAAATTTTCATTCCATTTATCTAGTCCGTTGCCCATGACTTTCTAATTTCTAGTCCCTCCACCAACTCTCCGACCCTTTTCTCTCTTCTGTTAAGGTTTGAGATGAATCGGAAGGCAAAAATAAGAACCATAACTGCATTAATATCTCATTTTCTTTTACTCATTCTCGCCGGGTTTCTTTTTCCGGCTCCGGCAAAGAGCATCCGGCTCCCGGATCGAATGCCGGAATTGACACCTCCCGCCAACCAGCCCTTGAAAACCGCCGTGTTTGCTCTTGGTAGTTTCTGGAGATCTGATGCTATTTTTGGTTGCTTGAATGGTGTGGTTCGCACCACCGTCGGCTACTCCGGTGGCTCTAAGTCTAATCCTGAGTATCGCAGTTTGTCCGATCACGCTGAATCTGTACAGGTCCTTTTCTTCCTTTTTATCTGTCATCTTCTCATAATTTTTACTTCGTGTATTTAAATATTTTTTTGTTTAATGTTTGTGGTATATAATTATGTTTGGGTATTGGATATTTATTTTGTAAAGACTTAGCTTCCTCCAATAATTTGACATTCTGTCCATGCTCGAGGACCAGCAAAATCTAAGCCCAACCTTTGACATTAATGGACAATCAACCCAAATTCAATCCAATCAAACCAAATTATCTGACAACCAAGACAGCAATAGGGCAGTAGTAAAATCACAATAATACCAACAATAATCGGAAGAAACAACAATGATCAACATACGGATTGTATGTGGAAAACCCCTGCGATGTGAAGGACCATAGGACCGTTTAAGGAGTCCACCCTAGCTTCTCTTATTGATAATTAAGGGTAAAATAAGGTGTTGTAACCATGAAAATAATATAGAAATTAGGGCAAAAATACAATACTCCATTGTAGATCTCATAAAAGTTGTGACGCGTTTACGGCTGCCCTAGAAGCGTATTTCGCCACCACCGGTACGAGGCTCTTAGTGACGAATGCTCCCCAAGGGTAAAACATCTACCTTCCAACTCCGTACCCCGATTGGAAGGTTGGAATTACTTCAAGAACTGCTGAGGTCTCTTTAGGAATGACTTTGTATTTATTGTGTTTAGGGTTTCACAATACTTTTTGTGTTTATAGGTTATGAAAAGGAATCAAGAATAAGGAAACAAAACCCGGCCAAAACCGAGTTCTCGAACCCTTGCCCAGTCGGGCGTGACTAATGCAGGCCAAAAATCTTGATTTTAGGCTCCGCCCGGTCTGCTCGGGCAAGACAGCCCTACCGGGCGCGCGGGGTAGAAAACAATACGGAGTAGTTCGAAGCCTTGCCCGGTCTTCCAGGGCAAAGCTGCCCCGGGAGGGCAAGTGCGATACGACAACTACGGAGTCAACTATCTTGACGAGTAGTCTACTTCTCACCGCCCTACCCCCCTTGCCCTGAGAGGACAAAGCAGGATAAAGAGGCTTATCATCAAATAGCTTAATACAATCGATCGACTTGAATCTTTTGACTTGCATTACTCCCAACACTCCGGTGGCTCTAAGTCTAATCCTGAGTATCGCAGTTTGTACGATCACGCTGAATCTGTCCGGGTCCTTTTCTTCCTTTTTATTTGGCATCTTCTCATAATTTTTACTTCTTGTATTTAAATATTTTTTTGTTTAATGTTTGTAGTATATAATTATGTTTGGGTATTGGATATTTATTTTGTAAAGACTTAGCTTCCTCCAATAATTTGACATTTTGTCCATGCTCAAGGACCAGCAAAATCTATGCCCAACCTTTGACATTAATGGACAATCAACCCAAATTCAATTCAATCAAACCAAATTATCTGACAACCAAGACAGCAATAGGGCAGTAGTAAAATCACAATAATACCAACAATAATCGGAAGAAACAACAATGATCAACACACGGATTATACGTGGAAAACCCCTGCGATGTGAAGGATAAAGACCACAGGACCGTTTAAGGAGTCCACCCTAGCTTCTCTTATTGATAATTGAGGGTAAAATAAACCCGAATCAGAGTACACAAGGTTTAACACCCACCCAGTGCCGTCTCGGACATTTTTGGGGCCGAGAGCAAAAATCGGAAAAGGGGCCCTAAACAACGAAGACTATACATAATCAACCAACTAAATATTTTATCCTTATACTGTTGGATTAATTATTCGAATTATTTGTTTATTTTTCTAGCCACCATATCGAGGTGCCGAACTGCCAATGTGCCATAAAAAAAGAGATGAGAGGAAATGAAGGCATGATAAAAAGTACGAAGTACTACGTATTTGCATGTTGTGGGTATAAATCTGAAAGAATAAATAAGAAAACTTATAATGTAATGTAGATGAATATTTCTTATATTTATCTATTTTAAAAAATCAAATTTATTTACTGTATTTAAAAAAAACTTAGATTATAAAGAAGTTTGCTGATGATACCACAAGTCTAGATTGACGTTAATAGCAAAAAATTCCTTACTATATGATAAGTGTATAGATATACCTGACAATATAATCGAAATTTCCACACCATTTGATGGGCTTGGCATTAACTTTATGAGATCAGGGCCGTTGATTAGCTGGGCCCTGTAACAAATTTCCCCAATTCTTTATAATTCTCTTTCTAAAGTTCTCTCTCTGAAAACAAGTTTTGAATTGATTGTATTCACCTTTAATGGAGTTCATCATCTTCAAGCTCTCAACAGTCTAAAATTTATTAATGTGTGGCCTATCAGCGGGGCATGTCACTTATGCTGCTCCCCCTAATAGCCGGCCCCGCACCCACCACCAACAACGAACAACTAGAGATCGAAATTAGAGAGCAAAATAGTAGAATTCACCCAAAAGACAGAACTGAAGACAATTGTGACCAAACTAGAGCTTAAAACGGTGATCCAACTGTCCTAAATGAAGCCCTTCATGTCAGGAGTAAACTATCAAAAATTTGAGCAGGATCCAATGGTGAAAACTTTGACAACAATCAGTTTTGGAGAGGCTGCCCACAAAAATCCAAAGGTGGAAGCTCTTTACAGAACCCTCACTCTCTCTCTATTTTGTGTGCATAATATCTTCAGCCACTAGTTGCCTACGTGGTCACTTGTTTACCACAAGATTTTCCATCTAAAGCTTCCAAGAGAAACCTTAAAAGTCATCCCAAAATCTTCTAGGATGAGCCACAACTTAAGTCCCTAAATTGGACTTAATTCAAGCTAATAAAATGAACCAAGTAAATGGACCAAAAGAAGCTACATCTTACTACCAATTGGGCTGGACCCCATTACAAAAAAGGCCTCCTTCGAATTGCTATCCACTTCTACATGGAAATCGAGATAGGATTCTAGCATAGGTTGTTAGGTTATTCAAATTTTAAAACTCCAAGAAATACCTTTTGAATTTATGATGCACATTCTATTAGATAATGACATGTGATTTCCCCATGTTAATAATGTTTCTAAATAGGCTGCAAGTTTCTTTCAATTAACCCTTTAATACCCCCAAGGCCCAAGTTGAATCATTACTTTGAGAAAGAACAAAGTTTTATCAGCAAAGAATCACCTGGTGTCTTGTTGAGATCTTTAAAACTGCTACCATGTTTAATGTGTGTACGTGGTTTGTCAATTATTTTGGAGCTAACAGTTAACATTTTGAAATTCTCTTATGATGTCCTTCATGACATTTTTTAGCCTCCTCATTAAACACTCTGATATCACTTTGTATGAAGTGCTGCATAAGTTGGTTGGCTGAAACATTGTTACTAATTGTGGCCATGTCTTCATTGGAATGAGTGTCATGTATGTCTCATTCATTTCCTGAAGTAGGTACCCACATTTGAGGAAGTTCATCACTGTTCATTTCACAAGATATTGAAATCCATTTTTTGCGAATGTTAGGGGAATGCCATTGGGTCTTGGTGGAAAATTGTTTCTTTGATCTATTTCATAGAAAAAGGTTTATCTTAAAAAGTAAAGTGAGCATTAGTTAAAATAGGAGCATCCTCATGAGTCGTGGCTATTACTTCGTTGAGGAGATTTGCGAGGCAGTGAAGAGATCTATGATCTAAGTAATATTGGAGGAACTCTTGCTTTATTTTTTTTCCCTTCCGGTGCTTCACGAGCCATCTCTTTTCTTTAACACTTTATTTATTCCTAATTTTTAAAAGCTACACATATTTAAAAGAACGAGGTGATTTGGTCTCCTTCGGCAATCAGTCTTACAATGTGCTTCTCGGATAGGTGACATTTTCTGTAAGTTGATTAGTTATTCCCATAAGATAAACTTGTTGGCCTTCCTTCAATCTAGATGATTATCCTTTTTTAAAATTTAGGCACCATTGTTTGCAAGCCTTTATTGTTGCTCCAAGTTTTCATCTTATAATGCCTTGTTTATCCAAATCTCTTCTTCATTCAGTTTCTTGCTTTTTCACCATAATGCTTTTTTAGGACTTTTCTTTAAGTATTCTAGGCTCCAGATAGTATTATTATGTTTATATTAATTCAGTGTTCACTCTTAAAACATTGTAATTTTAAAATGAAGCTCTTTAAGGAGCAAGTAATTATTGAAATCCAAGCTTCCTACCCAATATTGCCTATCTCTTTAATACCTACGTGTTGTAAGTTTTTATATATGTTGTGCCACCACATGTTTCAAAGCACCCTATCGACTTGCAATTGATTTTTTTTTGTCTTTGATCCATTTGTACTCGCCTCGACTTGCAACCCTATCAACCCTTGTCTCCGCTCTTGTCGCATATATCCAAGAGTGTCCATTATCCTTGTTTTCGCTTGTGTTGTTGCTCACTTGTCTAAAGTCCTCGTTATGCTAAATGAAGGCTAATCTCTCCACTCTAATTTGTGCTATAGGCTTTATCTCTTTGATTATTCCTTCTCATTGTTTTTTTAAACCATGTGAAGGCAACTCCATGAAATGAGATATCTAAAAGTCTATAGTATTTTCCAATTGATGAATGCATGTGCCCTTTGTTATTAATAGGTTTCCTCCGAGCTTTCGGTAATTGGCTGAAATTGTTAGTTGTCACTAACTTGCTAGGTGAGGCCAAATTAAGCTTCTTAGAGTTCTCTTTTAACTATGTAAAGGGGATCCATGGATGCACAACTATTAGAAATTAATCTTTAATTTGTCCGAATTGGTACAAAAAATCCTTGATATATATATATATATATTTTCATTTCATAGTATTGCTACTTCAGTCCTAGAACTTTAACAAAGCCACAATCCATTTAATTCGTCCATCCCACTACAATCTGACAACCATCAATGAGAAAATGGGTTTCAGAGCATTAATATTGTACTTGGTTTTAGAGATACAATTGTTGAGAAAGCCAACCACTTAAGTAAATGAATTGTAAGGTTAGTGGCTTTGGGCTCGCTTCGGTTTGCCTCTTTGAAGTGAGGCACACAAATAATACAATTTAAGAAATTTGCTTACGTGGGCTTTAGGTTCGCATCTCTTAGAGTAAAAAAGCCATTCTATCCTAATCGCCTAGCGCCTAAAGACCTCTACAATTCCTACTTAGCATTTTCATTAGTGAGCGATGAGCTGCATAGATGTAGCTTCCTCACCTAAATCTTTTGCAACGGGCTGTAGGTGCTTGATCTCCACCCATTTTAGAATCAAAAGTGCTCTTCCTTATGACCATGTGTCTTCGCTAAATCTTCCTCCTCTTTCTTGGTTCCTTGTCACTTGTTCCTTACTTGGTCCTCTATGGCTCTGTTTTGCGATTTGATTTTTTATTGCTCCTTGGTCCTCTATGGCTCTGTTTTGCGATTTGATTTTTTATCTTCTGAGTTCTTCTTTTAGTTGTTTACCTCTAGAGGTGCCTTGATTAACGGCTTAAGAGGAGTTTGTAGGTGAAGAAATGGATATTGGGCTGCAATCTCTCTTCTCTCTCTCTCTTTTTGGGTGCTTTTTTTTTTTTATTTTTTTTATTTTTCGTGTTTTGGATTTTGTGGTGTTTAGGTGGGCTTTCATGCTGTTGGTGCAAGTGGATCTTTTTTGGGTTGGTAGGGCATACTAATCTATTGTGGGCCTAAAGCTAGATCCAAAGGTTAAGTCTCCGAAAAAGGGTTAGGGTAGGTTGGCATTTTTGGTAATGGAGGTGGAAGGTGGGAGATAATTGGGTAATGTTGGATTTATGTTTAGTTTAGGGTGAGTATTTGAATGCTGAAGAGGGAGTTTCTTAGCAAAGTTGGCTGGAAGGTATATGGCAAAGGAATGAAATCAATTAATTGCCTTTAAACATGGGACAAGAAGTATAAAAATACCAAGTGAAGTTTCGGAAGGAGAACAAGAATATCCCTTAGGGCTATTATTATGGTGTTAACTTGGGAAATTAGGTTTAAGAATTTAGGAGGATATTGGGAAGGGAAATCTCTGTCAGTTGGAGTTATATAAAAGGGTACTGTGGCGTCGATGGGCCTTCCATTTCCTTGAGCCTTTCCCTTGTGGCTGTCAGAGGTGCAAAGAGTTATGATTGAGCTAACATCTCTTCCTTCTTGTTTGGCCCGAATTAGGCTGATTTCAGGTAGACTGAAGGGGGAAAAGATCATTCCACTTTCTTTTTTATAGGCACACTAATGATTTCCACAGTTTCATACTTTGAAGCAGCCTTGTTGAGCTGTATGGATAAATATTTCATTGGTTCTTTGTGGGAGGAGATGGCTATGTTGCGAGGGTAGTTAATGCTCCGCCTCTCCGAGAAAGGTTTCTTCCAATGGTAGTTGGTATCATTTCTGTCAGTGTCTGATGAGTCTTGTCATAAATTTTTAAGCATTTCCCTTCCAGATTCTCAATGTCTGTATTTGGGAGGACACGGAAGGCTCCTCCTAGATACATTCACTAGTGGGTAGGGTGGAGATCTTTGATGTAATTGATGTTATGGATGAGGTTGAGGTTTGACTTTCTATTTTCTCCACTTGCTTAACTAATAAGCTTATTTCTGAATGCATGTTCCTTCACTTGCCTGCAGGTAAAGTGTGAAGGGAATTTTCAAACAGGTAAGGTGTTAAGGGAACTTTCAAACTTTTCCCGACATAAGTCAAGGTGGTGGATTTTGGTAATTGTAGATGAATAACTTGTCTTTTATGACCTATCCTTCCACAAGTCGAGCACAAAATAAAGACCTCTTTGTATCTGATATGGATCCACTTGAAGCAATCAGTTTAGAATTCATAGTAGGAACTTGCGATTAAGGGAGATCTAGGGGAACCTATCTCCGCTTTAGAGAAACAAATTTATACCCAGTCGTCTCTGCATTTTTCGGCTGGGGAAGGGGAGGGGGGCTGCTTCGGGGTGGGAGTTAGGGATGGTGGGCTGTTTCCGGGGTGAGGGTTTGGTAGGGGGGCTGTTTTGGGGTAGGGGACAGGGAAGGGTCGGTTGACACAAGTCCAGTGACCTAGTGTAACAGGTTTGGTTATCTGGTAGGCTTGATAAAAGTAAATACCCCTAAAGCTGAGATTATTCAAGAATAATACATAATTAGGATTATGAAAGGAAAATTGCCCAAATTTGGGATTAGTAAAACCAAAATTTCCTAACTATATGTTCTTTGTTTCTTTTGGGGTTCATATTCTTTTCTTTTTTTTTTTTTAAAAAAAAAAAATTTATGCTTCTTGAATTTAGCCTTTATGTTCATTGGGTGCGCAAATGAATATTTGTAATTTCGAAGGGAAACTTGCGGATTATGCGTCTACAATATTGTCTCTATCAAGGATGTGTTGGCTACGAAGAAGAATTACTAACCTACTTCCAACCTATGGCTTCGTTTGTAATCCAGTTGTACTGGATTGTTTTTCTAGAGAAGTCTCTTTAGTCTATGACCTTCCCCACCACTGTCATTTGGTACAATTTGACACCATGCAATATATTTTTGGCCCCATTCTCCTGGGGGCATTGAGTAACTTATTAAGTCTGGGGATGGATTCGGGTAGGCTTTGACACAAATATGTTACGGATTATGGAGTTTTGTTTCTTCATTTTCATTATGTATGATTATTGGGGAAGGAGTTGTTCAAGGGGTGAAATTGAAGGGAGTGCTGTAATTGCATATTGCATAATTTTTGTACTACATATGAGGTATTGGCTTTGACCCTAATGTGGGATTTAGTTTCCAAAATTGCTAAGATCTTTTTTTTTTCCTTGGGGGTGGGGGTGGGGAGGAGGATTGAGTGGAAAGATTCAACTTCATGACATATTAAGCTCTTTTGAAATTGAAAACCAAGAAAACAGTGGATTGATGCATTCAACTTTGGTGTCAATAAAATAGAACTGTTGGGAACTAGGTGGTGTTCACTTTAATTCCATTGCTATCTCTTATCATGGCGAATGTGGGTTTTCTTTTATATATCTGTTACGTACTAGATTTTTTTTTTTTTTTCATGATTTTTAGATTGAATATGATCCCAGAGGTATAAGCTTCCGAGAACTGTTGGAGGTCTTCTGGTCTAGTCATGATTCAAGGCAGGTTTTCGGCCAGGGTCCTGATGTCGGTAACCAGTACAGGTGAATTTTTGTGCCCCGTCAGAAATGGACTTGCTTCATGCCTAATAAATTTCTTATCACTCAGAGAACTCTTTGGTGTTGACAGATCTGTCATCTTTACCAATGGTACGAGTGAATCTAGATTGGCAGCCGCCACTAAGGAAAGGGAGCAGACTAAATCAAAGAGCAGTATAGTTACAACCCAAATTCTACCCCTAGGAACCTTTTATCCTGCTGAACCTGAGCATCAGGTATTGCATGTTTTGCTTACTCTATGAAAACAAGATTTGCAATAAATGTTGCTTCTGTAGGTTGTTAATGAGCCATCTGTATGGTCCATAGTTACTCTTCAGTGTTAGATTTTATTATTCCCTTGAACTGTAGCTGATTAGATGCCTTGCAAAATTTACAGAAATTTGAGCTCAAAAGAAATCCTTTTCTTCTTCACTTGATTGGCAATTTGCCAGAGGAGGAGCTCGAGAAGTCAACCTTGGCTGCAAAAATGAACAGTTATGCAGCAGAACTCTGTCCTCGAAGGATTCAGAAGCAAATTGATGCCAAGATTAATGACATTATTAGTAAAGGCTGGCCTGTTTTGAGGGAAATATAATATTCATGCTGTGTACCATACAGCACAGCAGGATTCCCTTACCCCCATTGAGTTTGACAAGTTAATAAGGTTATAGCGATTCAGATATGAGTACCAGTTAAATAATGTGTTTGATTGTAGATGATCTGATACTAGAAGCTTTGACTGCAGGTCAGAAATTTATCCTTCAAGGCACTCTAATTAGAGCAAATTAGCAATGTAGGTAGGTTACCTGCTGAAATTTGTTGTAGAATAGGGTTTCTTGTGGAATGCATGTATATCTCCTGTCAAATGTATTGTTACTGTTGTACATGCTCTATGCACCTGATTGTTTGTAGGAGTACTAGTAGACTTGTAGTGCTTATCAGGATTCAATATAATATGCGTATCAATCATTGTCCGTGGCAACCTTTGCTCACATAAGCAATGGACATCATTCTTAATTATTTATCGTAGCTACAATGCACATATTTTGAAAGGACATTAATGGTTATGGGAACCTGCTGATGGTGTTTTGTATGATAAGTTATAGTTTTTGTTTATTTATTTATTTATATTTATTATTATGTTATTCTTATCATTTTTTTATTTAGTGAAAGGTAAAATAAAATACTACACTGTGGATTAATATTTTAAATACTAAACTTATTAAGTTCGCTGTTTTAAATAAATAGATATAAAATGTGCATTGACAAGCATGAAAGTCTAAGCATTGCTATTAAAAAAGAATGTAATTAGTAATTACATAAAGATTATTATTCATTATATTAATCCTTTGTTCTATTTTAATTGTAAGCATTTTTTTAATGATTATTTTATTTGCGAATTACTTCTTGAACACCTGAATTTCCCAATACACAATAATTAGACTAAACCCTCGTGTTTAAATAAATGAAACGTTTTGACTTTGAAGAAAGAAAAAGTTTTTTTGGGACTATTAGGGCTTGTTCATATTTACTGAACTGAGTTGAACTGAATTGATTGGACTTGAACTGAACTGAATGAATAGAGTAATGAATTTTTTATGAGTGAAGAAAATTAAGATCTGAACTGAAATTAAATTGATGTGAACAGGCCTTAGTAAAAAAAAAAAAGGTAGAGATCATATTATTAAAAAATAAACACGGGTTACTAAAATAGGAAACGTTTTATTTAAAAGGGAGTAACACTACATTATATTTTAATTTTTTTTTTCTTCACATCTGAGAGTAGAGGGGGAGGTTAGGGAATACCTTTACTCCATGACATAATTGTAGTTTAGTAAGACTCGAACTTGTGACTTAAATTCACAAGGCGAGTTCCAAAGTAACACTTTAACCGGAGAGGCGTGTCTAAGCCACAAATACACAAAACACAATTCCACACATTCAACAATTTACACAGATCCAAGCCATTGCTCTCTCGTAACGAAGCAAAAAGACGGAGAAGGGGAAAATAGAGTCGTCAGGAAGGAAGAGGAGGAAGGAGGGTTCAATCGACGAAGAGAAAGGGAAACACCATCGCCGTCATCAACGCGAGCAGAAGAAGTCTAAGGAAATGGCAACGAAGCAGCAAGTTAGGGCATCCCACATCTTGATTAAGCACCAGGGTTCTCGCAGAAAGGCTTCCTGGAAGGATCCAGAAGGTCGCGTTATCCTTAATACTACCAAAGAATCTGCTATCTCTCAACTCAAATCTCTTCGAGACGATATTCTTTCTGGAAAGGCCAACTTTGAAGATGCCGCTTCTCGAATCTCCGATTGCAGCTCCGCCAAGCGTGGCGGCGATCTAGGTCACTTTCCCTTTTTCTCTTCTTTTTCCTCTTGATTGTGATTTTTTTGGTGCTGTTTCTCTGTAAAACCCTGTGAAGATGATCTTGCTATGCGTGGAAACCCTAGCTATTTGTTGTTGTTGTTGTTGTTTTTTTTTTTTTTTTTTTTTTTTTTTTTTTACTGGAATTTGTTCGATGTTACTGTTAGCTACTTATTAGATTTGTTTTGATATAATTTCAAGCATATTAATGGTTGATATAATTCTTTCGTTTTATGAATAATGAAACATGTCAACTAAATAGAAATAAAAAAGTACTTGATTCTCATTTTAATGCACTTCATCTGCAAATTATACACAAGTTGTGTGGGTTGATTTTATGTAGAAAGCTGGAAAATAATAATACTCAAGGATTTATTTAAAGGGAGTTAGTGGTGAGAAAGCCCACACCACATAATAGGAAGAGAGTGCGGAAAAATAAAGCTAATGGGAAGTTCCACATAACTTGAGTTGGGTGGGTTAAGTTTCAATTTTAAGTAACAAGAAGATTTTTTGTGGATGTCTAAAAAGGGAATCAATGAAGGTATTTTGAAGGTGGAGGATGTTTGACTCCAACAACAGTATTGATATTGTTGTGCGTACATTTATGTATGAAGATTTGGGTAGTTTTGTAATTGTAAATAATGCATTCAATTGAGTACTTTTATTGTTCAAGTTGAACGTAAGTGCACTTTATGAAGAAATGAAAGAAGGAAGGGATTTACTTATCTGAATGCAATAAACTAATATTTATATAATTATTATATTAGTATGCTTGGTCCTTGAATCTATCATCAATTGGATCCAAGGATGCTAAGATAACAAAGTATGTCTTATGTTGTATGCCCCTAGAATTAAGAGTTACTCGTGGAGGTCGCATGTGATAGGAATCTTATTATAATAGTGTATAAGGCGTGACAATCCTATATTTCCTTCGCTTGATGTGATGAATGATGATTGATGAATCACTTGCCAAATTTTGACAACTTTGAAATAGTTGAAACACTTTTCGGTTTTACTTTAATACTTTATGTATTGTAGTATCTTATTTGATTTCAACCTCACCCTTAAATTCATTCTTAGGGGGTGTTTGGTATAGGAATTTTAGATGTAGGAAACGGATTCAATTAAGCGTTTCAAATTGTAGTTGTTTGATATGTGTTAAAAGTAACAAATACTCTCTCCTAAGAGTAACAAAATCTCCCAATTTTTTACCCTTGACAAACTAGTGGAAACAAACTACGTTTCCTTACTCAATCACTAACTACTCAAATTGTTTCCATTCTACTAGAATACCAAACATATACTAAAGGTAATGTATATCATTACCCTTTCCCCTACTTATTTGAATCCTTTCCGTTACATTTACAATATTTATACCAAACACTTCCATAATGTTTAGATGAACATAAATCCATCAGCCCCCCTCATCCGTTTCCTCTACCATTGTCATTAATTCTCTACCTCCATTAAGGATTGTCAATTTTCATCCTCTCCTCCCACAAGCTTCGTTTTCACCAATCCCAAGCTTCACATTCACCTTCACCTTCACCAAAACCCACATCCCTCACCAAATCCCACACTCTTTTCCCAAACAAGTGCCCACTTTCGAAAGCTCCTAATATTAGGCAAACATTACTGGATTTTTTGTTTTCTATCCCTATCTTCTCCTTAATGTAGTTACTTCTCTCTAGCTTTACCTGTTTATGATTGGTGTACATACTATGGTGCTTTTGATGTGATGGATTTAAGGGTTATTGTTGGTGGTTTATGCCTTTTCATGTTACTTCTCTCTAGCTTTACCTGTCTATGATTGGTGTAGATACTATGGTGCTTTTTCTAGTGGTTTGTGGTGGGTTACTGGCTGTGGGTATGTTTTTGGTAAGTTGTGTGGGGCGGTTGTGACTATGCTAATGTGTTAATGGTGTGGAAGTGTGGCAATGGTTGATCTGATATTGAGGTTAATGGGGCTGTTGGTGCTTGTCACTATCGGTCTAAGGTATGGCTTTCACATTTTTTACTGGAAAATTTGTACCTGAAACAATGATTTTTTTTTCTTCCCAATTTTAGGCCTTATGGATATTAATTTATCTCTTCTCGTCATTACATAGTTTATAAGACGATTGGTTTGCATTTTGATTAGAGTTGTATCCTATAGCTATGATTCTTCCATGTCTCTATAGTGCATTGGTGGGGCGTCGGTGGCAGGCAGCGGGTTTTGCTATTTCTATATGTTTTGTTATGAAAAACTGGAAGAAGTGTGGTTTTAAAATATTTTCATATAACTTGCCAAATTAATTCTCTGTTATCTCTTAGGCAAAGAAAAAGTTGTCACAGTAAAGATTTACACTCTTTCTTAGATAAAGTTCGTTAAATGATTGATAGGCCCCCTTTGGAACAGAGTAATAAACCTGCTGGTTACCTTATAATTTGTTTGATAAAGAACTACTTTAATGAAGACTTTCCAGATTAAAAAGTGAGACCTGCCATTTAGCTTAGCATTGATTAAAAGTGAGATTAGTGGTCATTGCATTACATGTTTTATGTAAAAAACGAATTAAGCGAATTGTTTAACTATGGAATGAGATGAGATAATATGTGTATTGGATCCATGAACTTAAGCTATGAATTAAGCTAAGCCAATAGTTGACCCCTCCTTCACTTTTAAGAGGTTAATAGTTTCACCTTACAACTATTATAACAGACTACTATACCTTTGCTCATCATCATGTATATGGATGATAATTGTTAAACTTTTCATTATTGCATTGGTTGTTTAGTCCCTCCTTTTATTGATCTCTATGCAATCTTCCTCTCCATGACAGCATCCACAGAATACTAAAAAGTAAAAAGTATATTAGTCGTTCTCTTGATGATCTTTCTCCTCCAATAGTGGAAGCTGACATATTCTATTTATTCTAATTTAGTATATAGGGGTGATTAGTAACGAAACATTTGACAGAAATGGATGATTTATATAAAAGGGTTTAGTGACAGTAATGAAGTAATCAATTGAGATTGAAATGCTGATGTTATTGAGAATACATTAAAACTTAAAAAAATAGAAGAATAATAGTACTCCGTATGAAGGTGAAAAGTTGAATATATTCTCAGATTTTATTTTTTATTTTTGGTCAGTTACAAACTTCATTAGTATGGAAAATAAATTATAGCTACTCCATCTATAATTATGGACATTGTCAGTTACAAATATATTTTGGGCCATTCATTAAGACCATTGAATTATTTAGCATAATTCAAGGTAAAAATTAATCTATGATTAATGAATCAAATAATGACTTGGTGGTAAAAATTGCTATTGTTATCACACTGACATGCAATTGCTTATTTGGTGATCTATCAATTACTAAAGTGACACATGGCAGAATAATACTCCTTGCTTTGTAGTTTTAATAATACTATTGACTATTGATTGATTGATTGATGTGAAGAGTTTAAAGTTATTGTGGAACTGTTACTTTTGAAAACTTAAATATGTTTTCTTACTAGAATTATAACTTACAAGCACAATTGACTGATCTCAATGATTGCAAATGAATAGTTCCTCGTGTATATTGTGCATGCTATGTATGTTTTGGTATGTTCTTTTATTTTATTGTATACACTATGAAAGGTTGTGCATCTATATGATTTTTCTTTAAAATGGTTCTCGCTGTATCTATGTGCTTTAGCGATGTTCAAGGAATTGGTCCAAATATCTGAATGTTTTCAAAATGATCAAGTGTACTCAGAGCCTGTCATGATCTAGACCTTTCAATTCCATGGATGTATTTGCAGGTCTTTTTGGTCCTGGTCAGATGCAGAAGCCTTTTGAAGAAGCAACATTTGCTCTAAAAGTTGATGAGATAAGTGACATTGTCGAGACTGACAGTGGAGTCCACATCATCAAGAGAACAGAGTGAGTTGCTCAAGTGAAACAATTACCTACCAATGTTGTTCAGCCTGCCTGCTGTTCTAATTGTGTGTTGTTTAATTGACTTGAAATTTTCAAGAAGATAAGTGCCTTTGTTCTGATGAACTCTAGATGGGATTTAAAGCTGGACCATGTTGATCCAGTGATAATGGTTCTTTACTTTCACATGCTTGGTTTCTTTTTTGTTTGAAAAAACTACTGTAGCTTGTTCCTTTTTTTACTCCTATTTTATCATTAAAGATTTGGTCCTTTTCTTTATTGATAGTAACTCATTCCATTCTTTTTGTTACCCATTGGCCAATTCGTTTCCTGAAACTTTCTACGTTGCCAAAATTTACCCTTTATTGTCATAATCTGAAGTTGGATAAAGAACATAATGGATATACCTAGATTTGATATTGCATTGAAAATTTGAAGGACATTACAAATTTGCTTTGTTGATACTCAAAATGTTCTTATAACTAGGGCGGAAAGCTCGCGAATTGCCTAATGGATATAGCATGTAATGAAAGATTCTTATATATTCATGATATAAAGGCTGATATTCTTTGAATTAGAAAAAAACTGAAGTTGATTTTACTTAAAATAAAGGCAAAATTAAAACTTATAATCCCACTTTTGACTCATGTTCTCAACCCTAACCTACCCTTGCGTATTTTGGAGATAATTTCACCTTTATACTCTATTATCAAAATGAGCCTTTTACCTCTTAGTGAAATTGGTAACTTGTTTAGAAGGTATTTTTCTATGTGTTGTTTTCTAATTGGTTATTATTAAAAAAAAAAGGGAATAAACAAAAAAAAAGTGGGTGGTACCATCCAATTTGCTTTAAAACGGTCAATTTACCCATTCAAAACTTGCACCGATTTCGTGAACTCAAACCTACCACAGACATTTACGACAATATTTATCTGTTATATATGATTCCAAAAGGCATTATATGACCATGAGATGTATTCCCTAGGGCCTCAAGACTTTTCGCCACCGGCCCCGTGTCCTCCGAAATTCCTCAAAAAGCGTAAATAATAGCCTTTAATATTGGAATTTTTAGAACTTTTTTCGCCTGAAAAAAAAATTGCCTAGATGTTTACTATGATCCCTAATACCCACCGAGAGTATAATTAGGTGGGTGAAACCATCCAATTAGCCTTAAAACGGTCAATTTACCCGTTCACAACTTGCACCGATTTCGTGAACTCAAGCCAACTACAGACATTTATGACAACATATAATGATCATAAATGGTTCCAAACGCCATTATATGACCCTGATATGTATCCCCTAGGGCCTCAAGATTTTTCTCCACCGGGCCCCGTGTCCTCCGAAATTAAGCGTGGATAATAGCTTTTAATTTTTGAATTTTTTGACCTTTTTTCGTCCGGAAATAAAAATTGCCAAGATGTTTAGCATGGGCCAAAATACCCTCCAAAAATCCAATTAGGTGGGAGGAACCATCCAATTTGCCTTGAAACGGTCAATTTACCCTTTCTCAACTTGCATCGATTTCGTGAACTCAAACCTACCACGGACATTTACGACAACATTTAATGGTCATATATGATTCCAAACAGCATTATATGACCCTGAGATGTATCCCCAAGGGGCCTCAAGACTTTTCGTAATCGGGCCCCATAACCTCCAAAATTCCTCAAAAGCGTTCAATTTTGGACCTTTTTCAGCCAGAAATAAAAATTTCCGAGTTATTTAGCATGGTCCCAAAAACACTCCGGGGGTCCAATTAAGTGGGAGGAACCATCCAATTTTCCTTTAATTGGCCAATTTACCTATTCACAACTTACACCGATTTCGTGAACTCAAGCCTACCACGGACATTTTATGACAACATATAATGGTCATACATGGTTACAAACGACATTATATGATCCTAAGATGTATCCATAGGGCCTAAAATCTTTTCTCCACCAGGTCTCGTAACCTCCGAAATTCCTCAAAAAGCGTGGATACTAGCCTTCAATTTTGGAATTTTTTGACCTATTTCGCCCGAAAATAAAAATTGTCGAGAAGTTTACCATGGTCCCTAATACCCTCAGTGCGTACATATAGGTGGGTGGTACCATCCAATTTGCCTTAAAACAGTCAATTTACTCGTTCAAAACTTGCACCAATTTCATGAATTCAAACCTACCACGGACATTTACTACAACATTTATCTATCATATATGGTTCCAAACGGTAATATATGACCCCGAGATGTATCCCCTAGGAACTCAAGACTTTTTGCCACCGGGCCTCGTAACCTCCGAAATTCCTCAAAAAGCGTAAATAATAGGCCTTGATATTGGAATTTTAAGAAATTTTTTAACTTGCAAAAAATTTGCCTAGATATTTACTATGATCTCTAATACCCCCCGAGAATCTTATTAGGTGGGTGAAACTATCCAATTTGCCTCAAAGCGACCAATTTACCTGTTCACAACTTGCACTTATTTCGTGAACTCATGCCTACCACAGACATTTATGACAACATATAATAGCCATATACAGTTCCAAACGGCATTATAAGATCCTGAGATTTATCACCTAGGGCCTCAAGACTTTTCTCCACCGGGCCCCGTGTCCTCCGAAAGCGTGGATAATAGCCTTCAATTTTGGAATTTTTAAACCTTTTTTCTGTTGAAAATAAAAATTCCAAGATGTTTAGCATGGTCCCAAATACCCTTTGGAAGTCCAATT